TACTAAGTTCTTGTGTACTCTTACATTTTTTTTTAAATTTTCACTCTACTTAGACTTTCACGTTTTTATTATAATTTAATTTTCTTTTTAGTCATAGAAAAAAAATGGTTTATTTTGTATTAAATGAATATTTTAAAACTTAAATGTCTTAATTTTTTTTTTTGCCTATGTGGACACTCTAGATGGAGAGAGAACTCCCTAATTATCAATATTCAAAAAAGCATTTTAGGCGTTTGCCTAGGCGGCGCTAGGCCCCTATAGACGTGGCGATTACCGATTTTGCCGTCCAAAATATAATGGTATTATAACAATAAAATAATATAAATTTTGTTATATATAAATTGTAAAATTTTATATATTTGGCTATAAAATGATGAATATAAATACAATATAAATTTTATTAGTTATAAATTATGCTTTTTTATATATTTTATTATACATATCTAATATATTATGTATTTTTATAAAACGTTTAGACCGCCTATTAAATCGTCTAGGCTCCGATTAGGCGTTCTAGGCACTATGCATTGGGTGGGTCACCGCTTAGCGCTTTCTTTAACATTGCTAATTATATAATAGATTCGAAGACTCCAAAGCTGGATATCTACGGAATTCTGGAGGATATTCATCATCTCTCTCAAATTCTAGAAATCAAATCTTTTGTTTTTGTCAAAAGATCAAACAATCTTGAGGCTGACTCCTTAGCTAAGGCAACGCTCTACCATGTATCATACTCTATCCGATTTAGTCCGGTTTAAATGAAATTTCTCCTTTTGACCGAAAAAAAAAAAATATACAAATGATTATTCGTGACATGTTTATAATTATCTGATTTTTAAAAAATTTAAAAACTTTTTATTTTGAATTATTTATAATTCCATTAAGGGTAATATGGGCAAAAAGTGGTAAAAGTTGACAAAAGTGTATTAGGACATTATATAATTCAATGTAGCCTATTATAGCAAAATTTTCTACAAAAAATTATATACAAATGACTATTTTATTTTGAATTATTTATAATTTCATTAAAAGATAGTATGAACAGAAAGTGGTAAAACTTGAAAAAAATGTATTAGAATATTATCTAATTTAATGTAGCATATTTTAACAAAATTCCCAAAATCAGACCCAACACACAAAGTTGTACTAACATTTTAGCTTATGATTGCGTGTAAGAACCTCTAATAGCTCAAATTCAGAATCTTATAATCTCAATGATATATAAATATTGGTTACCCAACGAAATAAAGTATCCCACTTGTTAGGTAAAGTTTTGTCATAAATAACGACAACGAAGCACTTTGTTATGGAGGAAAATTGAAATACAAAACATTGACTTTTGACTGAAATTACTAAAACAAAAGATGTGATGGAAATCGAGTAGACGTTATACGTCTATTTCGATCTTATCTTATGGTTTTTGCATGGCTACTCCCAAAACATTTTTGTACCGTTATACGTCTGTCCCAAGCAATAAATAGGAGAATTTAAAAAAAAATAAAGATATTAAACTTCTACTAATTAGTTAGTTTGAAAGTGTAATGATCTCAAATCATTAGTGTGTTTGTTGCATCTTAGGTGTAGTTCTACGACTATGTCGTAAATTATCACCATTTACAATTACAAAAATACAAATTTTTCTTTGTACCAAAAAAAAGACAACTCTTTCTACTTAGCCAATAATGTGTGTCTCATTGTTTTAGTTGAGTGGATAAAAACTCAATCTTTGCGATTAAAATGAATAGTTGAGTTCAACAATTTACGAAAAATATATTAAATTCTTTCTCGATTAGTAAACATTTTAACTAGCAAAATACTTTAGTTTTTCATAGACCGCAGCTGAAATTTTTTTTTTTTGTTATTGAAGAAGTAACCCAACTACTCTGTATTTGAGGTGTGGACAATTTTTGGTTCATTTTCATATTAACATAAAAAAAAACAAAAAAACATTTTACAGGATTGAGACTTATTAAAAAATATTGAAATTACAACTACTTCTACTGGCAGATGCATCAGTTGGTTTGTTGGAAGATCACAAATTCGCGTATAAATTCTTCTAAACTACCTTTAAAATATGCATTATTTACTGGCAGATTCATCAGTTGGTCTTTAATCGATTTTTTTTAACGGAGACCAAAATAGTGGTTGAATTTTATTTTTTGCCGTAAATAGTGGCTGAATTTTTTTGGCTCAAATTTGTGGTTGATTTTTGAAAAATTTCAAAAAATGCCACTTTTCAAGTGTCACTTTACAAAAATGCCACACTTTTGAAATCTTTACAAAAATGTCATTTTTTCAAAATTAGTTTTTCTTTATATTATTTATGTTTGGGTTAATTATGTTCTTTTAGGGTTTAGTTATAAGGGTTTAGGGGGGTTTATGGGTCAAAACATTTTTTACTGTTTAGAATTTTAAGATATAGAGTTTAAAAATCTATAATTAGTGGCATTTTTGCAAATGAACACTCCTAAATGGTATTTTTGCAAATGTGCACATAAAAAATGATATTTTTGCAATTTTATTTTGATTTTTCTTTCTTCTTAAAGAAATCGTTTAATACACCAAATTGATTTATTTTTGAATGATCGGTGAACACCATATTTTCAGTTTAGTGTTTAGCTGATTAACCTTATCCATATTTTATCTAATTTGTCTGAATTTTACGGGTAACAATAATTGAAACAACGTATTTAGATAGATAATGTATTCTAACATATAATGTACGACTAAGATAATTACCCAAGACACTCAAATCATCCGTTCAGATGACTTTATTTTTTTTTATCAACAAATCATTTCATTTCATTCCAATACACTTAAGGGTTACATTGCCATAGTTTCTCAAGGCTGACTTAGCAAGTAAATCTGCCTCAGAGTGTTTTTATCTAGGAGACTAGGAACATAACGAAATTCAAGACATAATGATGTTTTTGATGTCTTGAAGGATTTCAAAAATTTGTTTGATTGGCTTATGCGAATTATCCGCTTAGGTGACTGAGAGCGTAAATGGTGATATGAAAAAAAAATTCTGCCAAATTTAGTTAGATTCAGCAATTATGTAGTTACCATTTGCAATGTACAAAAATTCTGCCACATTCAGTTACATTGAGCAATTCTGCAAAACAAAATATTGTAAGATTCAGTTAAATTCATTTAGATTCAATAAATTTTTCTAACACCAAATGATGTATAAATATATTTATTTTAGATAATAGATTGGATAAAACCGGATATTTGAGTTAGAAAATATATCAAATATATATATATTTTTAAAAATGAATTGGATAATATGAATATAATATATATGATTTCGGATATTTAAAATTATTATCAAACACATAAAGATTTTATCATATTTAGATATTTTATGTAATTACAAATAATTTTGGATAATTTATAGATATTTTTGTTTGAAAAAAATTAAAACAATTATTGTAATTTTATAACTTTTAGAATTTTGATAGTTTTATTACTTTTAAAACAAATTTCTTGTTCATGTATTTTAAGTTTATGTTTTTGGTATGGTTTGATTCAATAGTTTCGTAATTGTTTGTACTAGTATAATTTAAAAAAAAACTATAAGAATGTTTATTCTGAACAGAAAATTCAATAATTAGCGTAAATTTTATTGAAACAAAATTTTGGATTAATTTACTCTATTTGTAAGATAATTCATCTTTAATTTTTTTGAATTGCAAATTTTCTCATTAAATTATGGGGCAATTACAAAAATACCACTTTTGTGTGCACATTTGCAAGAATGCCACTTAGGGGTGCCCATTTGCAAAAATGCCACTAATTATAGATTTATAAAGCCTATATCTTAAAATTCTAAACCCTAAAAAATGTTTTGACCCCTAAAACCCCCTAAACCCTCATAACTAAACTCTAATAGAACATAATTAACCTAAACATAAATGATATAAATGAAAAATAATTTTGAAAAAGTGGCATTTTGTAAAGATTTCAAAAATGTGGCATTTTTGTAAAGTGGCACTTGAAAAATGACATTTTTTGAAATTTCTCAAATTTGAGACGGTCAAAGAACTATTATAATCATTAATGAATCAATTTTAAATATTCAGTAAAAATTTTGATTTCAGAAAGGAGAAAGAATATGCACCAACAGTAACACCGAATAAAAGTAAGGGTAAAATTTAAGGGGATGATTGCAAAAATGATATTTTTGGTGTCTATTTTCAAAAATGCTATTATAAGTTGTATATTTGTAAATATGCCACTAATTAAAGATTTTTATCCCTTAAATTTAAAATTTTAAACCTTAAAAAAAGTTTTGACTCCAAATAAGTTTTAAAATTTCAAAAACTAAACTCTATTACAACATAGTTAACTCAAAAATAAATGATAAATTGAGTATATAACTTTGAAAAAAATGGTATTTTGTAAAATTTTTGAAAAATGACATTTTTGGAAAAATGGCATTTAAAAAAAAATGCCATTTCTAAAAAATATTTCTCGAAATTTAAATAGTTCATGAAACTCATAATCTGAACACCGAAATCGGAACTGGTATGAAAACGTTGTTGCCGCTACGTACCAAACTGGTATGAAAACGTTGATGAATATGATATTTGTTTGCTCAAAAAAAAAAAATCCGAAAATTATTTTATGACAGAACTTGACAAAATTAAAATCTAGTGATCGGCCTTTGACTTCCATAGAAGTAGAACCATTTATTTATGTAATTCTTTTCCCCCGTCTATGATAATGGTTAATATTGTTTGTGTTATTAAACTTCAATTCAATTATGTAGTTTTACAAAGTTTTGGAGGAAAAATAAGTTAATCTTTTCATTAAAATGTTTTAGATTAATATTTCGAAACTATTTGATAACATTTTGGAGTGGAAATTTGTTTCAACTTTCTCTCCTTTTTGTTGATAACTTCTACTTTCTCTCTTCAATTCTATTTCCATCATATTGTTTATTGATTTGATAATTGCATCTCCACTGACATGAAATTCAAATTCTTGTACATGAGGATCCGATTAGAAAGGTTTTGAAATGTTTTACAATATTATATTTTTGAGTTTTTACTCTCTATCCTAAAACGATTTTTTTTCTTTCAAATAAACCAAACGTTAACGTTTATAAATTATCTTATACAAAGGCGAAAATGACAATGATTAGTCAATTTAAGCATTAATAGATGGTCCCAAACAGCCCCGATTAACACCTAATTTTAGATATAGGTTCATTCTAAACACATGAATCCTTGGGATAATTGTAGTATATAGCTATTTTGGTAAATGTCTAACATATGTTACCACTTTTTCATGAATTTGTACGTGTCGCCGTATGTAGTATGATTAACATGTACACATATTCGTGTGGTCTACGGTAAACCGGATTTTCATATATAGTATTTTTTTGTCGTGATTTTC